AGTCGCGAATAATTGACGTCATATTAACCCCAAAGAGTAGTGACTGAACAAGAGAGTTATCTTTAGTTCACCTTGCACTCACCAGGTCTTATTAACCTCTCAAAGAGTAGATACTGAATGACATATTTATCTGTAGTTTAGTTAGTACTCGCCAGTAATTACGTTGGCTTGACCCCCCCAAGGGTTGGTTCTTGGGCAGGTTGTTTTTTTTTGTTTTCCTTTGTTCGTTGCCGTTCCGGCCCCGTTGCGGGCTTTTGTTTTGAGGTTGGGGCCTTGGGGGTTGTTTTTTTTCGGCCCCCCCCCAAAAAAAAGTAAAAACACAAATGGAAGGAGAGGCGGTTAGGATTTAGGAATGGCGGCCGCCACTCCTAAATTAATGTAGAGAAAACACTGAGTGTGAGTGTGCACAGGTGTAATGAAACAACTGCTGATACAGATGTTTATTGAAAAGTCTTATTTGTATGTCTTTTTTTTCTCACAGACAACACACTGACAGCCTCTTTACTAAAGAGCTTGACTAACAGCCATCATCACAGGGCAGCACTCTGCCAGGTCAAAATGAAATCTGAATTTGAACATAAGGCATTTGTGACTAAACAAGCAGCCGCAGGCGTTGCAGAAGATGATCTCTTGGAGCAGATATAAATATACAAAACAGTCCCATTATATTACAATACATACAACACTGTGCTTTGGGAATAAATATTGGAATGGCTTCAAAAAGGACAACAAAGTACTTGTTAAAGCAAAGTTACAACAGCTGAAGCAAGGAAGCAAAACCCAGAGATTTGAATTATATGAGTTACCTCTAAAAAAAAAAGTTGTCTTAACATTTTGAGCAGGAATACCAATAATAGTGTTTAAATTATCCCTGCTGAAATCATTCATTAACACTGTCCACCGAGAGCTTTAGCGTCTAAGCTCTGTTTTCTCCCAACGTAAGCACCGTTTCACTCAGGTCACCTCTCCACTCTCACCACCACGTGTTCAGCTGTGCACTGACTTTCACTGACAACATCACCAAGAACTAAATGGCACAGGTGCTCTCAGACATGAAGGACAGGGCCAAGGAGCTTTCAAACAAGGAGAAGTGGCTCGCTTTAGATCCTGGTTTGTTTAACTTTCTCGTTGTCAGAGCTGGAATCAGATCCCTTCCTGCCACCGCCATGCGACTCCTTCCTGGTCATTTCCAAACTCTTCCTCTTCTCCTTCTCCTCTGGATCCAGTTGGGTAAACTGGGCTTCTATCTTGGTTGGATCAATGTATTTGTAGAAGTAGGCCATAAATGAGAAGACGATGCACACGAACACCAACAGTGAGGCGAAGAGGAGGTACTCGGCCCACTGGAGAGGAAAGCACACACGCAGTGTTCAGTTTGAGTAAAAGCTATCGTAGTGATTTTAGGAAAAAATGCTTTTTCTCAAGAGTTAGACGAGAATATTTCTGCCACTCTTAGGACTGTCTGCCGGCCGGAGCCAGCAGCGTTAGCTTAGATTAGACTAAAGGGTTGAGAAACTGGCCTGACTTTGTCCAAATTTAAAAAATATTAACATGCTATATCTTGTTCATTTAACCTGTGCAAAAAATAAAGTCTAAAAGTGCAAGTTGTGGTTTCATTTGAGAAGTTGCTGCTTTTGTTGTCTGTCCTTATGCTAAGCTAAGCTAATACGTATATAATCCGCTCACCTGATCTTCGAGTGTTGCAGCCTCGGCGACAATGAGGACAATAATGTTACCGACAGCAACAGTTAACAGCCAACCGGCCTGCAGCACAGACTTCATGTTGCTGGGTGCCTGCACAGCAGAAAGAGATGCATTAGCAGCTGCATGCGTCAGCAAATCACAGAAAACATCTGAACAACATCATCAGTCTTTCTACATTTTGCCTTCTGACACACTTTATTTTCAAAAGCCTCTTATTATTTGTACTCTCAGGTGTTTTCAGGTGCCTGTAACAGTGTTGTCAGACATCTACCTGTGAGTAGGAGAACTCCAGGCCAGTGACAGAGAACACCACCTCTCCTGCAGTCATGAAGAAATACTGAGGGATCTGCAAGGCCATGTGGACGGAGTTAGGACTGATGTCCATGATGGGCCGGATGGTGTCTGCACACTGTAGTAGACAGGCAGACATTCACAGCGTTACTTCAGTCAAAAGAGTCACCTTCATCCATGCTGTGACTGAGAATGTATTTACAAGTTACATTTGGTCCGAATGCGAAGGTTGAAGGGATGACCATGGTGAAGGAGCTGCCGAAGCCCAGCGTCTGTTCGTACATACACACATCTCCCACATCGTTCTTGATCTGGAACTTAGCCCTGCCATGTCAACACAATCCCCAGTCAGAGCACAGAACCTTCTCAAGTACAACGACACATAACAAAAATAATATCAGCCTTACAGTCCCTGTGATACGTTCACGTATTGTGACATGTTGTTGTTGACGATGTTCCCGAACTGCTCTTCACCCAGAGTGACGTTCAAAGCTGAGTGAAAACCATTTAGAAATCTGAGAAAGAACAATTCAGCACACAATAGGTTAGAAAACCACCTGTCTACCATTTTAAACAAGATTTATTACATACTTTCTCTCACTGATGTTGGATTGGCAGTAAAATGCTTCTTCAATTGAATACACTCAGGAATTTTTCTGCTACTCTCATTTATATATGGACTGTATATTTGATGGTTTCCAGGTCTTCTATGATAGCTTGTCTGTCTGTTTAGAATTCTATGAGAAAATCACCCGACTTCTCATCAAACATGCTACCTCAGGAGAGGTTTAAGGTCCAAAACTGTAGTTTCAAGTTTCTTTGACTACTTCCATTATGTCCTCCCATTATGCCTCAAACAAAGATAAAACTAAACCTCAATTATCTTTTGAGGCAGATAAACCACTTACAAGAAAAAACAGATTATTGTGGAAGACAGGAAGACAAAATAAGAAACCTAACACAATGGGAAACTTGCCTGATAGCGTTAGCTCCTTTGTCCGGCTTCGCTGCAAAGTCTTTGAACTGCAGACAGAACAACCAGTAAATCTTTGTACATAAACTTTGACATAATTCATACCAGAAAAGACATAAAGGAGGCACAGAACTAGTCCAACTGAAGTCACATTTAGTCAATCAGATTCTAATGTCCTAAATAAAGACTTGGTTCTCACTGCCACTATCTGAGGATTTGCGATGCATTTCTTCCTGTTGGAGGCACAACTTTTTATCAAAGGAGAGCTCAAAGCATCTGATTGTTTTTTGGCCTACAACAGACCAAACAAAATGGAACTTCAGTTGGACTTTAACTCTGTCTGGCAGGCGTTCTTACATTTATATGCCCGTATACAACCGCATCCTGAACGATGATGATGGTGTTCCTCGTGCCATCGGGTACGCTGATTGGATAATTGGCTCCAGGCCCCAGATTCAGGTGAAATGGCTCGTCGAAGGTCAGGTAATCCTCACTGGCCTGCAGAAGAAAATACGGATCAATCACTGTGTCTCCTAAACTAGAACACATCATGTACTGTGTAGTACACCTGACAGCTAGTGTCTGTGTTCTGTAGCTGGTGCTGGTCGGAGTACCGTGAAAGCATCCAAGCTAATCCCATTGTCTCCAGCTGTGAAGTTGACTTTCTCGTTGATCATGTTGATGAACTTCACTTGGCCCTCGGTGCTCGACGGGAACGTCGGCAAGGTTTTCTAGAAGAGAAATGGAGTTCGGCTTTATGAAGGTCAGGTGTGTTGAAGTTGCTGCTGGAGTGTGTTTTACTGCTACACCTACATCAATCTGTAGCTGGACCAGGGCAGCAGCCACGAAGGCGAGGCCAGCCAGGAACATCCCCACGTTCATCCTCTTTAACGGGCTGCAGCACAAACACACACATCCAGACAGATCAGAGCTCACCTTCATATTTCTATGAAATATGGATTTTGGATTGTGGCAGCTGCATATTTTCTCACACTGACCAAATAATAATAACTAATTAAAAAAACAAACAAAAAAAAGGATATGTGATAATTACATTCCACAGAACGAAGACATCACAAGAAACTCACGTGAAGTTAATTCTACACTTGGCAATCAGGGGATAGACTATACTGTCCACGACTGGCACCAGAACCAGGATCAAGATCGGGTTGACGGTCTGGTGGGAAGAACAAAAGTCATTCTCGCATCAGTTAAACGCCGCAGCATGTGAAGTGCTCTGTATTGTGTAAAAGCACGAGTGTCTGACCTGCATCTGATCGGGCATGATGGTGAGAAGCCCCTGTTGGTGGAAAACAAGAAAGCAAAAGACAGAACGTCATTTTAAAAACCATTCTTGTGGTTTGAGCTCACACAGCGGGACGCAGCAGAAACACTTACAAAGTTTCCGTTCATGGTGGTGGCCTGCAGGGTCCACCTGGAGCCCTGTGGAACAGACACAGCTCTGATTTAGTCTGTCTTGGGATTCTTACAGAGCGTTCCCTTGTAATTTGCTGCAGAGATCAATTTCTCTCTCTCACATACCTGCTGGTCAAAGAGAGCCCAGAACATAGGCAGAGGGATGTAGAGGAACAGCACCTTCAGCACCATCTTCACCTGTGCGATCAGGAGTTTCTAGACCACAAGAGAGGAAATGATGGTGAACTCGTGCCGTTCATACTTGCATGTGCTTGTGAATGCAACCTGCTCTTACATCATATCTCTCCTCAGCCCAGTCCATCCAGTGGTGTCTCTTGGGGTACACAGAAGAACGATGTCTGAAGCGGTTGCTGATGGCAAACTACAGAGGACAGATCATCACACACTCATGTTCAAATCATGTTTAAATCCATGTTCAACCTTTTGAAGAGACATCAGTTGTGAGGAGCCACTTACCGCGATACATTTGCAGACTTTCACCATGATGTTGCCCTGAGGGGCGGTCTTGTTGTACATGCCGCTTCCAACGATGAACACAACTGCAAACACGCACACGAGACAATCATCTGTTATCTTAACTGCACTGTACGTATTGATGGCTCTTATAAAACACACTTTATTGAGAGCAATAAAGGCTTTAGAACTCCTAACTACCGGCTTTCTGAATGGTTTGTAAATAATCACTTGATGGTTTCAGCAATAAGCAGCCATTAAGGGTTTTTTTTTTTTGCAACCTGGCAAATGAGAAGCTTATTAGTTATCTTTAAAAGCACTAATAAAAAACGGATTAAAGAACATGCCAGTAATTCAGCATTGCACTTTGAGTACACTGGGAACAGCGGTGGTTCAAGTGCTTGGCTTGACCTCATTTTAAAAGTCACACATAACTGCAGCTGTTAGGTGACGAGTGTTCAATTAAAACACCTGAAAACTCTACTGAGGCACCGTGTTTCCCTACATGTAATTAGTTACGCTTCAGTACTCACTCAGGGGACTCAAAGAAAGGTTGAAATACTAGCAGTAGCCAACGTGTCTTGTTTTACAATCTAAACATGTTGACTCCTACCTCTCCTTTAACGCAACTCGGTAGCACGCAAGCATCTTTCAAACTCCACAACTAAAGCCTGCAACAAAGGCTTTCAGTTATTAATACATAATGAACTGTGAAGACCACGATTATTCCGTCTCAAGATCGCATTTGATCAAACACCTCAGTAGCCACACACGACATAAAGGCAGAGTAAGTAGGCAGATAAAACATAAACCCATGAATGTCTGTCTCATCTGGAAATAGCAGCGATCTGCTCATTGCAGTCAACAGAGATGTTAAAGTCCTTACGCAGAGAAACCACCATGAGAGCAGCAGGGACACCGAAGGCCAGTGGGTAGCACTCCTGCTTGGTGTAAATGCCACATTCTTGAGCTGGAAACACACAAACACACATCTTTAAATCCAACATGTTACCGAGTCGTGCTTTCTGCGTATTTGGGATCGTCTGCATGGTCGAGCTCTACCTCTGAGGATGGGGGTGATGAGAGTGGACAGCAGGCTGCCAGCGTTGATGGACAGGTAGAAGATGGAGAAGAAGGTGCTCCTCTGCTTCTCCTGTTCGACACAGAAAGCTAAGCAAGTCACTTTTTGCTCCAGATCACATGCATTTCCCCAAACTTGCTTCTTACACAACATCCACTTCCAGCCGTCAGTAACTTTGTCCCAGGCCTTGAACTGTGTCATAAAGTCGCAGAGGCAGCTGTACTCATATTTATTAGTCAATCAACAACTGGCAGGGATGAACCCAGAGATACAAGAAGTGCTGACGAGATGCAATTGATAGCTGAGAGAGTAACTGCTTTGTCTTCTGCATACAAAAGGGAAAGGTCAGCATCCACGTGTATGTGGTGCATGTATATGCTCAAGTGTACATGTGCTGTAATGCATGTGGATAGATTGTCGAAAGGGTGGGTGAAAAACAGCTGCTCTGTCATAAATACTTCCTTTGTGCAGCTTGGTGTGAGTTCTATCTCAGGTCATGTTGGAGACTGGAGGTTGTGCTACTGCACTGTCCTGTCGTGGGATTCTGAACCCTTTCTATACACACTACAGCTAATTGCATAATGTAGTCTACTCTTAGAACATCAACATCTATCTGACGTTGTCTCACCTTAACTTTTACTGTTTGGGGTCAAATTTGACTCATTTTGACATTTGACAGCAGTAAAAACATCCTAAACGTCTTTTTATTAGCCTGACATTTGATGACTTTTCCTAAAGTGACCCAAAATACACAGAAATTTAAATGTTTCAAAATGCTTCTCTCTTGTACAGGTGCTACAAACGTTTGTCCACTGAAGCTGTTTGGGGTCAAATTCAACCCGTATGTCCACTGAGATGGTTTTAGATCTACCCGTGTGGGTCAAATCAAGGAAAATGGTGGTTTTAGGGAATCTGGAAACTGTGAAACGGTACAGGCCATGTTTTAAGTGTATTGTTAATTTACATTTATTATGTGACATAGACATTCTAGATAGATCTAGAGTTTAACAGACTTACTGTGGGTGAATTCTTCACAGTATGGTCTGAGTCAAAATTGACCCAATGGCATAAAATAAGATTCGATTAGATAGAACTTTATTGATCCCTTTGGTCGGGTATCTCAGGGACAGTATGTAAAGGTTGAACTTAATGTCCAGTTAATTTGGAAATAATCCAACAGGTTTCATAAGTTTAGGGTTTGTCTTATATTTTAAATATTGAAAATTGAGGTACGAAACATGTCTTTGTGATCAAAATTTTTAAAAACACTTTTCCAAAAATGCTCCACGTAATCTTTAGGAAGAACTATGAAATGTAATACAAAAGTATGCAGAAAACAGGATTTAGATTTTTGTTAAAGAAAAGCTCTGATGAATTTCCCTCACAAATGAGACGTCAGCTCTTCATTCTTCCTTCTGTATCGCTGAATAAACTTTGTAATAATTAAATGAATTACATAAACTATTTTAAATTACAGTAAAATATATCATTATTATTATAAAACTATCTCTGTTTTCCTTAAAATAATTACTCGATTACATATTTCTTTCAAGAAAACTTTATGGAAATACTTAGGAAAGTAATAAGCTGAGTTGTAAAAGTGATATGATTCTTTCATTGGATGATAATGGGTGTTCTCACAGTATTTATTGCTGGACTGTTGACTGACTTTCATGAGATTGCTGAGGTGTTCCTGTAATCTTTGTGGCCTCCCCTGTCTAACTATGTGTGTGCTTGAGCGACCTCTGACCTGATCGTCTTGAAACTGGTCTCCACCGAAGGCGGCCACACAGGGCTTGATGCCTCCTGTTCCCAGGGCGATAAGAATCAAACCCAGCATGGACAGAGCTCTGCACAAAACACAGCACAGACACGACGTCAACACAAACACCTGGAAGTGTGAATCCACTGTGACTCTGTTGTGCCAGGCTGCTGGAAGTGTGTTCAGCTCACACATGGAGGGTCATGTTGTCGGGGGTGCCGTCTCTGTTTGTGTCCGTGATGTCATGGATAGCGCTCACGGCCATGACCACCTGTCCCAGCGCGTAAACGATGGACAGGTAAACAATGGTCCTGTGCACAGCGAGGAGAAGGGACAGGTGAGGAGTTAAACATGTAGCGATAAGATAGACAGGGCTCATAAATCCATAGAGGACATGAACAGCTGATTCTCTGAGATATGCTTTAAACCTTTCAACTCTTTTTTCATGCATGTATTATGTGCAGCAGACTGCCACAAGGAAACACAACAACACATCTGCAGCAGCAGTGCATGGAGCAAATCCGAGATTTTAGTGCCTTTTCAAACTCACTTGAACTTGCCGAGCCACGAGTCAGCTATAATGGCTCCCAGGATAGGAGTCAGGTAACAGAGGGCCACGAAGGTGTGGTAGATGGTGGTGGCAAAGTCATCATCCCACAGCAGGAAGTACTTGAAGTACAACACCAGCACGGCTGCAGAGAGCGACATTTTTAAGGCAGTGGTTTACTGAGAAATTGTACTTTTTACACCCTTACAACATTTATTCGATGGATGAGGTTGCTGTATGAGATTAAACTGGAGGCTTCTAACGTTTTGGTTTGTGACTTCTTACAAAGATGTTGCATCATGTAGTTAAGAGTTGCATCAAAGGCTAATTTCCCTTTCAAATGCCTCATGTTTAAATGACTGATTGAAAACCAACAAGATCAAATTATACAATATTTCACAAATAATTAAAGTTATTATTACATTTTGTCAATCAGAACTTTTCCTTTTTGTTTTTTATTTCTCCATTTCCTATAAATCATCAGACCAGCCCTCAGAATTAGCTTGTAATCCTCTGCTTCCCAAACTGTGGATTGAGCCTCTCCAAAGGACTAAATCACCTGCGAGTTGAGAGCACTTAAAAGACATACAGGTGTGATTTTTCTTCATAAAAACTGGTGTTACTTTTGATTCTTCCATTTTCAGATAATACGTCTGTAATTGACTTAAGTAGGATTTTGAATGAATAGAAAACTGGTAATCGATTGTGTTTTACATCGTTATGTTGGTGCTACATGAAAACAACTGCATTCTTCTTCCACCACTGTATTTTTGAAATGAAGCATGATGTTTGTGTGTAAAAACATATTTCATAGAACATAGAGCAGTTCAGATGTAGCGGAGAAGTGTACACGTACAGCACCGTAAAATCAAAACATGTAAATATACAGTCAAAGGCTGAATCAACTTTCCACCACGAAGCAAAGCAAAACTAGTTCCAGAACGAAGCAACCCACCTCGCATGCCATAGTAGGAGAACCGCTCGCAGAACTCATTGACCACGATGAAAAAGATGCTTATTGGGTAGCCAGCAATAGAGGCCTGTTGGAGGAAAGGAAGAACGTGAGGACACGACGTCAGTAACACGGAGGCAATGATCACAGCAATCATTACATAACAGCTGAACTTACACTTTTCCTCTTGGACTTCTTCTTCTCTTCAATGTCTGCAGACAGAAGTTAGCACAAGTCTTAGTTTAAATCAACAGATTCTGTGTTTCTTGTGAAATGTGCAGATAAATGATGTTTATCGTAACCAAATGAACAAAAGGTATTCCTGCAAGAAGGAATCTCATAATGCTTCCAGTCACAGGGCTCCCCTCCATGCTCGGACTCACCTGCCATGGCTGCTGTCAACTCTGGGTCCAAAATTCTCCAAATGAATCCTTCAGCAAAAAAGTGAGACGGCGGAAGACTAATGACCCCCTGTTCAAACACACCACCTGAATGCTGGGTCAAGGCCTGACCGCCTCCTTATGTAACCTCCCATCCACCGCCCTGCGACGCCCACTGATGCTGGACTGTGGAACACCTTGTCCAACTCCTCCAACATGCAATTCACCATTATTTCTACTTCCCAGGCCCTTCTCCTCAACGTTATCACAGCGGCATGTGTGCGTGTGTGTGTGTGTGTGTGTGTGTGTGTGTGTGTGGGTGGGTGGGGGGACAGTCAACAATTATTTTATGGCTCAGGGAGCTCAGGAGCCATGAGAGGCTCTTGGCTCGCAGATAAAGAGAACAGCTGATAACAGAGGCAATATAGCATATTATTTTTCACTTCCAGTATATTTCTATTATAATGGAAACATAATTACACAAATGCATCGTATTTGAAGAGTGAGTATTGAATGATGGCAGTAAAACAAAAACAAAAACTCAAAGCTGACTAACAGCTGTGTGTACATGTGATACGTGTATCTATCAGTGCAATCAGCTTTTTTATTATCCTGCAGTTGGAACGTGAAAAGTGTCTTCAAGGATTCTGGAAACTGAACAGCAGTAGGTGTCTTTCAGCTATGCTAGTGACATGGCTCTAGCACCGGCAGTGTCTGTTAGCCAGGACAACACTTTGGTCTGGAGTGAAATATGAATACAATTATGGATTAGACTGCCATGAAATGAGGCACTCGACTCCAGAGAATTGCTCAAATTATTTATCTTTAGCAATGTTGTTGCATTTAATAATTATTTAAAAAGAACAAACAGGTTAATGTGGTTCTGAACTGCAACATCCCTGCTTCAACTCCAGTTGAGGACATTTGTCGCATGTCACTCCCAGTCTTTCTCTCTCCCTTTTCTAACCACTGCACATTACAACTGCAGGACCTGCTCCTGTAGACGCTCTTTCAGATCCTCAGAGCCCGAACCTACTTCTGAATGGCTCTGAAAAACTGCTAAATGGGTTTTAACTGGTTAAACTGGGAGAGGACAACTGCCCTCTTGATGTTCTCACCCAGAAGCAGTCTTCTCCTCTCTTAACATCGCCATCAACAACATGTACAGTATATACTAACATAATTAATCTCCACTGTTCTACTTCCTCTCTGCCACACAACTGGAGTTATACCCAGAAACTACTATCTGTCATTGTTTTGATGCTCTCAGACCTAACGTTGCAGTCAAAGCTGTTGGATCATGTTGCATGTGAACACAGAAAGGGTGAAAGGGCAGAATATTGGGGTTTCCTGTGAAGGTTTACACCACCTGCTCTGACTTCCTGCCGTGGAAAATTGCCTAATGTGTCAAATGTGATAATAACAATGCAAATATGTTCAATATTTGAAATAAGTTCAATGGTACAATCTCATCAGCCTCAATTGTGATTGAAACTTTTCACATGAACACACATTAAACTCAAAAGCAAACATGATTGAAATATGATAGCATGTTAACTTCTGAAAATTAGTATCGTCTTTGTTAACATGCTGGTGTCAGCAGCTCGCATGGCTGTAGCAGATTACTTTTGCTCAGAGACTGACAGTTTATTTTCGAGCAAAAGCAAATTTAGACATTGAGTGAACTGAACCTGGGCCTCTGGAATAGCAGTAAGTAGAACACGAACATGTAAAGCTTGTAAAAAGGTAAAGCTAATAGAAGTCTCCTTCTTGTATTGCACCAAATAAAGACAAACACACACCATGAAACACCAGCAGGACTCACACATGATCCTCAGCAGCTCAAATCTCTGAAACAATGACACAGCCGGGTGTTAGTCCAGCAACAAGACATGAGGGTTTGTGTGGTGGTGGTGGTGGTGGTGGTGCTGGTGGGGGGGCTAGCAGTGATAACAGGTGGGATTAGCTGCTCTGTTGTATGACAGCGTGGATTTTACCAGAGTCAGCTTCACGATTTCACTCCTGCTTCTCTTCAGTGATGGTGCAGCTCAGTGGCATCACTGACTGCATCACAGCCCCATCACACACACACATGCACACACACACACACACACACACACACACACACACACACACACACACACACACACACACACACACACACACACACACTCTATCTCTCTCCCAGGCAGGTAAATACACAAAGCTGTTTATCATTTTTAATGTAGACAATTAGAGCTGAGGACATGAATCATACACATCACTGAT